GTAGGGAAAATACATACAGCCTGACTTTTTGGAGTTGTTCCATAATTAGAAGAAAGGCATTTAGTTAGATTATCACTGTAGATCTAACATACCCTGATGAAAATGCCATTCTCCTCTAGTGTGTCCTTTAGACTCAATGTGAAGTGCTCATTTCCTCTAATTGAAGCTCTTTGAAGTATGTTGCGTTGGCTCTGCAGTGTCTTATTTACTCAAAGAAATCCACTGAATAAATCAACTGGTTAGCAAATTGTATTTTGCCTCAACTTTTTGGCATGCGAGTGTAAGAGGCGAGGAATTTTTCATAGACCCTTTGGCTTTATAGAAAAAAGAGCAGGGAAAACAGGGGCGGAAAGTACAAGACGAGGTATCCATTACGATGAAGAAAGTTATACCGAAATTGGAGTGCGATGCTGAAATGGGAGGAGAATCCTGGAGTCCTGAAGCCCTTGTTTTCATTCTTAGCAGTAAAGGAAAATTCCTTTTCTTGCCCCCCTTGCAAGTGTCTCTGACTTCTACAAGGCTGAAGCAGCACAAGGATCAGGTCTTTAGGACCCCTGAAGACCTTTATCTTTTATACAGCTACTGCTAAAAATAGTAATTGTTAACGGGGGCCGTGGTGTGGATGCAAGTCCTCAAGGAACTGTATAGATCAAGTCATCAGACAGCTTCTAGATGGTGATGACTTTCAATCACTACTAAACCAACACGGGTTAAGTTAATTACATTACCAATTCCCTGAACCATCCCATTCTCTGTATGGTTTTTTGTGATGTTCTGTTCTTTACTCTGTTGAATGCTTGCATAGATAAAGGACAAATACTCACCAAAGAATGTAGGCGCCCTGTTTTGAGACCAACCTGTTGTACAATTTACTGAGTATCTTTCATAGTTGTATAGTCCTTATTTCCCTGTAGAAGATCCGAGGGGGGTTGGATTACACAGTAGTGCACTTGGTGGTGTGCTACCAGGGGTGCCAGGGTGGAGTCTGAGCAGGGGGAGGGAGAAGCATTTGAGATCACCATATAGTACAGCATGAGATAGAAGGTAAGCATGAAGTGGGGTGTGCCAGTCACCCACATGTTTCTTTTATGCATCCAGATCAAGGTGAAAATCTTCCTTTCCCTATGGGATAGTATCCTGCTCTCCTAATCTCTAGGGGGACAAACTGCCCTGGTAGGCAGCGGAGAGGCCAAACCTGGTCTTGCTTTCAAATTTCATTTTAGTACCTTCCTTGGAGAAGTGAAGGGAGGAGTTCTACCATTTGCGGACTCATGATTGACATTCCCATAGGAAGGCCCTAGACTTTCTGGCTGGGCTTTGCTGCAAATTATTTGCTGCACAGAACTTTTTCACTTCCAAGCAGCTAGCATCCCAATATAAATATGTTGTAATTCTGATGAATTTTCCCTGGTGAGCATTCAACTCGGAGAATGCAGAAAGATGCAGTCTGGTTCCCAGTTGCTGGTCTCCAGCAACAGATACCATGAAGAACATCTGACCTGGAGTCCTAGGCGAGGCACAGACTTGGCTGGATGGTCCTTTTTTTTTAGTCCAGGCTTCCAAGTGAAGAACTGAGAGCAAAATTATAACCCATTTCTTAAGATTGTAAAAGCCTACTGTTGTCTTCAGTCTTTTTACTACAATAAAATCTGTAGCTTTTTCCCTTCATTTTTCTCCTGCTTTTAGTTGTGTTTTGCTGGTGTTATTTCTTGTTCAACCAAAGACTTGGAACAAAGGTAAGTTCTGTGGTCTGCTCTTTGGGATCTTGGCTTCGGTGACCATAATGGTGCTTTATGGTGTATTGTCTGCTAATGCAGTTGTTTGAGGTTTTTCTTTTTCCTCTTATGTGCAGAGATATCCCAATGCCACTAGTCAGCTCTGGAGTGGAGCACGGGAATCTGAGAGAGCTTGCCTTGGCCAGGATGAAAGATCTTGGGACACAGGTAAAATATTTGTCAACTGATATTAAGAGAGAGCTGCTTGATGACTTTACGCAGAGTAGCAGAGAGGAAAGTAATGACTAGAAGACAGGATAGGAGCCAGGTTTACTGCTGAACTAAAATGATGTGCAAAGGTCTTTCCAAAGAATGTTAATGACTAAAAATCACCTTGATGATACTTCTGAAAAGCTGGTTCTGGTTGGTTGATTTTTATTTTAGCACTTTCACCCCATTCCTGAAGGTACTTGGTAACTAGTTTGTGATACTCTATTTTTTTTTAGCAGAATGAAACCCTTAAATCAGAGAGAAGGCAGAAAGGTTTCTTTTTTATTTATGCTATTAGAAATTATCCTTCGTTTCTTTTTCCCACACATGCACTTACTTGACTGAACAATTGGAGGAAAAGCTCTTAGTCTGAGGCCAGAGAAATCTTCCAAGAGAGATTTCAGCACAAACAAATGAGACTTGATATTCTTCATATTTCTAAGGTCAAATAAAAATATGATCAGAGGCGGAGAGAAGGAGGGGGAGGGAGGAAGGAATGGAGTTTGTATTTGAAGTCAGAAGAAGGTACGTATACCCAGTCTTGATTTTTCTCAGAGGGTCGCTGCAGCGGTCGGCATTCACAGTGCCCATCATGCTCTGCTCTGACACTGCTCTCTCTTTGAACCTCCCTCCAAAACCCGGTTGTCAGCCACACTTTCTAAATTCTCCAGTAAAGTTACGCCCAAGTTCTTCCTTTCTTAGGATGTCCAACTTCCTAGACAAAACATCACACAAACCCCATGCTCCTTGAGACTATTCCAAAGGCTTTAATTGCTTTGCTGTCCTGGTGTTCAGGCAGGGGCAGATCCTCACCGCAACTGTTCCATGCCTCTGTATTGTGATTCAACACTCCCTCTTTCTAGCTCGCCTCTTCTTAAAGCGGTTTTAAGGCATTACTGCATCCGGCAATAGTAAAGTCTTCGGCTACTGTGTGTGTGTGTCTGTAGTCCCACAGCAACTTGTGCTGCTGACTTATATTTTTGGTATTTATCGTGGATAGTTCTCTGGGCTACATCTAGCTCCATACTGCCTTTGGCATCTCACTTGGATCTTACAGTTGCAGCGCAAAAGATCAGAAGAGAAACTATAAGCTGTGTTCCTTCCAGCTGGGCTTTCCATATCACTTAATCTCTCCTAAGCTGATGCCCTGGACTTTCTCCTTAAATCATTCCTCCCAGTCTCTCTCCAGTAGCAAGCCAGGATTTGGCAGACAGCTTTGCCAGCCACAGAAGCTTCCATCCCTCCTGCTGACTTTTCACTTCAAAACCAGGCAGGGGAGACAACCTCTGTGGTGCAGCTAAGCCTTTTCAATTGAGTTCTTTAGGGCTACTAGGGAACTCTTCCCCAGGTTTGATACTAAAACCACATCGTTTGGTCTGAACCTGATCAAGACCAACTGGAGAAGCAGGAATAGCTGATCCATGGCAGTCAGGGCAGAGCTGAACCTTTAAAGGGCTTGTCAGGCTGGCAGTCATCGCTTTCAGAAGCAGCAAATCTGTAAATATCTCTGCTGTGCAGAGGACTAGATTTTCATTTAGTGAGGCAGAAACACTGCAGTTGGTGGAATGAGGAACCAAACGGTCTGCTGCAATATAGCTTCAGATGTAAGGTAGTGTTGTGTTTTTCTTGTGTCATAGGAGAAAATTATAAATATGCTTTGTCCTCTTGTCTCTCAGCTTGGAAAAGGAGAGGAAAAGGCCAAGGCAAGGAAGGGACTTGTAGGAATCTTTTATATTTTAGACTCGATAGTAAAGATCAGCCAGCTTACCACCTCTGACAGTTCTGGCGTCCGTCTTTGGAGAATGGCTTGGTGAGGAGTGTGTTTGAGAGATGGGGATCGATCATGCCAACACTGCAACTGGTGTCTGTGGTCGTTGGAAAGAAATTGATCTTGAGGAGCCTTGTTGGAGGGACCAGATGCTGGCCTTTGTGATTGCCAGCCACCGAGTGCAAGTGGAGATGCACAGTTGGGACACAGAATTTTAAAGCAGCATCCCAGAATACATTGTCCTTCCTCAGTTCTGGGGTTCTTAATGAAGAGTGGATATTTCTCTGCCTTTTACTGTGCTGTTTGTGTAGCTAGGAAATTGTAAAGCAGAGAAGAGTTTGTCTATTCTAGAATCCTGGTACGACAGTGAATCCTGGTTTTACCGTAGCCCACTTTAAAAACCAACACAAAACCCCACTTCTTTCTGCTATGTGGGGGACTGTTGCTTTATATTGATAATGGAATTTAAAAGCATTCAGAGGACAGGAGATGAGATAGACCTGTGCTTGTTCTGGGTACTCTGAGTTTCTGTGTGAATTGGAATTTCACACATTCTTCCCCTGTCTAAAAGTCCGGCTTTTGGAAATACCTGGGCAGGTAGGTGTTGTTGCTGTTAGAGCAATTTTAGCCCATTGATGGAGGTTATCTTCCTTCCCTCCAAGTACAGCAGCACTAGTGGAATGAAACGAGCATTTGCAACTCAGCTGCTTTGAGTGAAACTGTTGTGGCTGAACTTTACTGACAAAAGTTGGGTCAAGCTTAGCGTTGGACTTTCCGATAAACCTACTAAGATGTGAATGCACATCATCTCCCACAGCAGGAGTGCTTATACTATCACGACTGTTTGCTTATGTGAATGGGTGCCACGTTATTCAACTTTCAAGGGCTTTGCTAAGAAGCACAAAAGTTTATGCAAGCTATAACCCATCTCTCAAGCACTGAGCTTGGAGCCTCATCTCCTCCTCTGTCTGACTTCTAAGAGAGAGAAGATTCCTTTTGGCTGTCTTTGTTTTCTCCATCATTGGTCCCAGCCTCAGTGATGCTCTGTGGATGCCAGATCAGCGTTAGCTTTACTTTCTACCAACTATGGGTAGAGCTTCTGCAACAGTTCTCATTTAAAAGCAAGAAAAGGGTTGCTGAGATTCAAAAACTGGCTATTTGAGGACTCTGTGGTGCCTTGGTGTAGATTTTGCAGATGTTTGACCTTCCCAATGTAGGGTAAAAACGGATTATGCCAAAGTCTTTTTTGCCTCTGCTATCTTTTTGTGTATGTTGACTTTTCCTCCAGACCCTGCTGTTTGTGAATCGAAGGGAACGTTTCCTCATGAGCCATAATGGTTGCTTAGTGAATTGATTTTTGCCAGCATGTCTTTCCATTTAGCACTGAGACCTCTTTCTGAGGTATATTAGGGATGGATCGGTGAGCATTTTTATTTTGAAGTCTACCCATTTGAAATTCATCTGTGCAACTTCATGCTATTTCAGTTTAGTTTTGAACCCAGTAGGTGGCTGGAAACCTGTATGTTTCAGAGCTTAATGTTTTTCTCCTATGTTATTGTGGTTTTTTTCCTCCCTTGTTTTTCCTAGTGTCGTGATGTCAGGACAAGAGAGGTTGGAATTCAAGAAATTCACCATAAAGTGAGACCATATCAGGTATGAGTTGTCTTTTTTTCTAGGAGCTTGTTTCAGACACAATTTGTTATATGTTTGGTGCGGAGGCGTTGGGACTCATTTGTTGCACGTCCAGTCCTGCGGTTTGCCTTTGTAGCTGGATCCAATTTTCCATTTATTTTTGCAGCAGCTTTGGATGTCTTTTGTTTGAGCACAGTCACATGTTGAAATTTATGGACCACCATGTTCAATAAACTGACTACAACCGGCAGTTATTTTGGTATTTGCACTGCTATAACAAAATAACGGCCTTCCCTTATCTCCCTCCTCATTACAAAGTTGGATGTAGAAAATACCAGTAACACCGTGTGTGCATTTTAGTGTTTAGCACGATGAGTTTACAGCCTTTTGTGTGAATGTGCATGTTTATGTAGGCAAACCGTATATGTATAAATACACTTGTGCACATGTATGTATATATTTATGTGTGAGTAGGTCCATTTAGCATCTGACACATATGTTGTTTTTTTCCTTCCTAAAATCCTAAAATAGTCCACAAAAAGATTGATGTGCTTATTTTATAGAAAGAAAAATGTTCACTGCTGAACTTCAAGCATCCAATTTAGGAAACTAATCCTCCAGTTCACTGTAGTCACAAGGAGGGATCAATCCTTCCACAAAGTGATCAGGAGGACCATGGCACCTAAGGAGGGGTGAGCTTTCTAAGATCACACAAGGTCTGATCCGTCTTACTATACATGTGTGCTGTGGCTAATAAATCATACCCTGGAAGTATTCTCTTCCTGTTCCTTTGCTGACATGAAGGAGGGACTGAAGTGACTGGAGTTTGTCCATCATGGATTGCCTTTAATTTCAAACAAGAATTCTTTGTGCCAGGCAGAAGGTACTACCACCCCCAGGTAGAAAGCTGAATGAGAATGGCACTTGCATACCTCTCCCCTCCTCTGTGCAGTGGGCAAGCACCTACTTACTAAATGTGAGCCCCTGAACTGGGGTTAGGCTTTCGATGTGTCAGCACAGAGAGAGATTCCTGCGAGAGGTCCTCTCGCTTGTGCTTGGGAAGCTCCGCTGATTACTTAGGCTTCAAAGAGGCTCTGAGTTTGGTGCCAGAAGTTAAGTAGAGTCAATATTCTCTGAGTTTAGCATCTGGAAGATGTTCTCACTTTGCAAATCAGAGATTACTAGGAGCTATATTCTCTTTTTCTCCTGCCATTATGTGAATTCAGATGGAGTGCAATACTTCCCATCTTGCATAACAGAAATCCAGTATACTTGGATATAATGTATATAAATGTGTAACGATTTCAAATAAATTATCTTGTTCTTACCAGATTTCTGCAAGAACTGAGGCTGTACAGACTTGTTTGTACATAGGCCGTGCAGCCGTTGTGCTCTGCTCCTGTTATCTAATCAACGGTCATCTCACAAAACATCTTCCAAAGATGTCTGTTGTCAGCAGTGCTGATCTAATTTAAATTGTAAATTTCTTGAGTAGTTAGCAAATAGCTTATCACAGGGTTTTCAAAGCAACGTTATGTTGAAAATTCCCTTTGTTAAACTCATCTGTCTGAGTGGCAGGAGGATGTCATTATGTAGTCTTAGCAAAATTTATCATGACAGCAAGCAAGAGAAATATTCTGAAGATGGTATAATTTTTCATGCGCTTGAGACTAATGACAAGGTGTGATGTTTTTCTTAGCTTTATGAGTAAACAACGCACCCTCTTGATAAGAGAGGCTATCATGTCAGATCTAAAATAAATTAATCAGTTGCTGTAATTAGTTACACTTCATGCAACTTCTTTCTGTTAAGGATCAGTAGGCTGTATGTATTTTTATAATGGTGATGGTGTGTCTGCTTTTAAAAGTTTTTGTGGGTGTGTTTTTTGTTGGTTTTTTTTTTTAAATCAATTTGAAGTAGATTACTTGCCTGTAGCTGGTTATTTACAGAGCTGTCTCTAAGCTGCCTATTCAATTAGTGGCGTTTCTCCATAGCAGCGGAAGGTATTTGCTTGCTCTCAGAATGGTTAAGGCTGCACAGGGCTATGTAATAGCCTTAAAAATGCTCTAGTGAATTGTTGCTGTAAAGAGACGTTGGATTGACAGTTGCTGAAAGGCGAGGGGCAATGACAGCTCTGTTACAGATATGAACCTACATTAGTGTTAAAGCAGAAAACGTAAGACATAGAAGCAGCTGTTCCTGCAAAGCAGGGGGTTTTGTATCAAGATAATGATCTTGGTATAGAGCCGTAGTAGGAATAAGGCAGGTTTTTAAGCTGGCAGTAGCTGGTTTAGGTTAAGACTGTGATCTGCCACTGGGTTTTCCCTTTGTTTGTCGAAGTCAGTTTAAACCAGGCTGTGCTGGCTGTTTGATAGGGTCACATACCGCAATGGTGATCCAGCCTGATGAGGGTTGTTCTTACCCAGCACACAGGATGGTTTAAAGACAAGGGCCTGACACTGGGCACTGCAGCATGCTGCTGCACATGGCTATGCACCAGCTGACCAGGGCGGGATTCAGGGTGGCTTTTGCCATGTTTATACCAGTATCCCAAAAGGAAAAGGCTTTGTACTTCTCATGAGTCCCTGAAAACCCTTGGAGGGGATTTATCTATCCTGGGACCCTCTGTGCCCAGGGAAGTGGGGAGAACTTGATCTAGGAGGGACTTTTCTGAGCAGTTCCCCTTACCTTATGATGCTACAAAAATGGACACCATATAAAGCCCCCTGGTGAAGATTCCTGTAATCTTGATTCATCTCTTGTCTACAAGTGGCTTTCGGAGTGGATGTGGGCATAACACGGCATCTACTCCCTGCTGGAGGACAGGCAATGGAACCATGTTTTCTACTTGTTTTGGTTTGTCCTCAGAGGAAACCAGGAGTTCTCCAATCTTGCCATTTCGAACTCTTAATAGAGCAGTGTTTCATAATATTTTCTGCTTTTTTTAGACGTTAGCAGTAAGCTGTAACCTAACGGCTTTTCCATGTATGAAACTAACTGCAGGATCTGGGTCTTTTAAAAATCTCACGGTCTTTTATTTTGCTGTACATTTCCATTTTACTAGTGGTGTTATGTACCTAATGGTAGATCTGGATCAGTCTGTGTCAGCTGTCCTGACGCACAAGCTGGAGCGGAGTTGTGCTCTTGGAGAACTTGGCACATTGGCAGACATCTGCTTGGGCGCTTACCCCGCGAGCTGTACATCAGTGTTGAAATGAGCCTTGCTTCTGTAGTCAGTAAGGGATTTAATTGTGTTCATCCGGGCTTTGTCATGGAGTGGAGCAGGCAGGTGACAGAATCTCTTATGGCTTTTCTGTAAACAAATCTTTAATTCATGGATTTCTGGGTACTAGAGGGTTTGCAGAAAAAATACTGAGGTCCTTTGCTTTAGTCTTTGTAGTAGTACTGGGAAGAACATGGCAGGGTTTAGAATCATGGAATCGTTTAGGTTGGAAAAGACCTTTAAGATCATCGAGTCCAACTGTTACCCTGGCACTGCCAAGCCCACCACTAACCCATGGCCCTCAGCACCACATCTACACGGCTTTTAAATACCTCCAGGGATGGGGACTCCACCACTTCCCTGGGCAGCCTGTGCCACTGCCTGACAACCCTCTGGGTGAAGAAATCTTTCCTAATATCCAACCTGAACCTCCCCTGGCGCAACTTGAGGCCGTTTCCTCTTGTCCTATC